GACTAAATATTTATTTTAGCTAGAAATATCTGTCAAGAAGAAAGAGAGTCACCAAATTATCCAAAATAACTGAGATATAATACTTTTAGAAAATATATATAAATAGAACTTAATCTGTACATTTCAATTCAAATTGTTCCTACTCTTTATCAAAAATTGAGGAGAAACGAAATTACTACAGAAACAAAGAATGATGAAAAATTTGTTTTTGTTTTGTTTTAATTGCATAAGTTGCACAGGGAGTTATCTGCACTGTGCTCACCACATGAACGAATCTCGAAGAGGCACAGCGGTATGTCTGCGGACTTACAACGCTAGAAACCGGGTTTCGATACCCGCGGTGGGCAGAGCACAGATTGCCCATTGAACAGCTTTGTGCTTAACGTCAAACAAACAAACAAACAAATCTCGAAATTTAGCGTCATAAGCCTTAAGGTTACCGCTCACCCACTAGGAGAGTAGGGGAGGCTATGATGAAAATAAAATAATTTCTGAATACGAGCAAAGAATAAAAGAAAGATAAGATTTTTTATTACTTCTATAATTATCCAAAAGTTAATGTAATGAAGAATAATAATTTACTTTGATCAATAAAGGTTTATCTCTCTGATTAATAATGTGAGAAAAATTCATAACTATATATGTTCTAAAAAGTTGACTCGAAGAGTTAGATTGATTAATATTTCCTGAAAGATTTTGAACTCCGTAGATAATTTTAGTTACACTATTTTGTTTGTTTGTTATGCACAAAGCTGCACAATGGGCTATCTGTGCTCTGCCCGCCACGGGTATCGAAACCCGATTTCTAGCGTTGTAAGTCCGCAGGCATACCGCTGTGCCACTGGGAGCTATACTATTTTGAAATGGCCCGGATTGGCCAGGTGGTTAGGGCGCTCGACTCGCAAGCTGAGGGTCACGGGTTCGAATCCCCGTCACACCAAACATGCTCGCCCTTTCAGCCGTGGGGGCGTTATAATGTGACGGTCAATCCCGCTATTCGTTGGTAAAAGAGTAGCCCAAGAGTTGGCGGTGGGTGGTGATGACTAGCTGCCTTCCCTCTAGTCTTACACTGCTAAATTAGGGACGGCTAGCGCAGATAGCCCTCGTGTAGCTTTGCGCGAAATTCAAAACAAACAAACAATTTTGAAATCAAATTTTACTTAATAAACATGTTGATGAACTAGATATGTGATGAAATCGAACATTTCTTCTTTAAAATTTGAATCATATGATTTTAAAAAAGATCAAACCAAATAGGATTTTAAAATCTGTATTAATGAAGAAGTATGTTTTTAAAAAGCACTTAAAAGGAATACCACTGTTATTCTGACTAAACATTTATATGAATAATGAACTAATAATGAACTGTACTATTTCATGAATTATGAACTTACTACGAGTTCTTTTTTGAATTTACAAAATATATAAACTTAAAATTAATGATTGATTTATGTGAGTATCTCACTAACAATTACTTACAAATTAAAGATCTTTCAGATATTAAAAGTTAGTCTTTGTATTGGGGATCAACTCAGACCTTGAATTTTTAACTTAAGTTTCTGAAAAAAAAATATTTTTATGCTACTTTAGTCACGTTTAATGTTAACATTTATACTTGCATAAATCATAATTTTGATCTGATGATTATTAAATATTTCTGTGAAATCTTTCCCAAATGTTTACATAATATAATGCCTTTAAATTTTGTTTACACTTTAACAGACTGTTTTTAGACAACTTAATGGTAATGCAGGAGGTATTATTATTATATCCTACATGGGCGTCTTTACTTATAGGTTTTACTGAAGTAAAAAAAATGCATTTTTAGTCAGTTATAAGGTTGATCAAATTGTAGAAAGTTATAGTAGCTGGTTTTGTTATTTGAAGACTTTGACTTGAAGTCAAAGATTTGGGCCTGGTAAATTTCTGTGGTATTTTCAATAATATTGATGATTATACCATATATTAATTCACGTTGTATGTTTGGTTTTGGAGCTAGTAGGTCTAAACTTGGCAGGTGAACTCGGGATAGTTCGTTGGTTATTTTATCTATATGGTGTAGCTGTATGGTGTAGCCCTAACAAGGGAAGCTAAAACGTGTCCATAAAATCGTCTAGGTATGAAGGGGACCTAGGAGTAGGTTTGCAGGGCCGATGAACCCGTATCTAACATCGGATTTTTGTGTTCCTGGCCCCCTTGGAATCTCGTGGGCGCTATATTTGAAACTGTATTAATATCACACTCAAAAACTGGTGGGACTAAAATATGTGACAAGTACTCGGGTACCATGATGGGCGGGTGTCCTAACGGGGCTTTTGTTCGAATACTAACACCCTTGGAGTTGCTATAGAAGTAACTGTGGATAACGGAGCTTGATCGGTGCATTGGGGCCTGTTTGAATCATAGGGCGGTTGTTAGACCTCACAGCGAAACGCGGATGTTTTATTCTAGTAACTTATAAAGAGAGGAATGTTAAGCCTTTTTTTTAGGTATTGTTGTTACTAAATTGCTACCCGGTGGCTAAGCAACAAGCTCGAGAGTTTATAACACTAAAATTCGAGGTTTGGATTGGAAACTGATATTTTTTATAAAGCTTCCAACTCGCACACCTATTTGGATTTTTTAGTAACAATCCTTAACATTTTAAAGGACATGCACCTATTAATTTAGCTGATAGAATTATTAAAACTGTAAATGATTTAAATTCAAGATAAACTGATTGTTTTGAAAATTATACAAATCCCCCAAAAAGTCTTATAGATTTCGTCTTTGTTCGCGATAAAAGAAGAGAATCCAATATTGCAAAAGTCAAATTGGTGTTGTCTTCGTTTCAAATTACTGTGTGGATGCTATGCCAGACATTAATGAAATCAAAATTCTGGTAGAAAACTATGCGAATTTTAGTATTATAACACCTGTAAATAATTATGATATTATTTAATGCTTACAAACAAATTAATAAAACTAACAAGTGTTGTTTATGGTTATTCACATTTTGTAATGATAAAAATAACCAAATTTTTAGTTAAGCACAAAGCTACACAATGGCTATCTGTGCTGTGCCCACTACAGGTATCGAAACCTGGATTTTAGAGTTATAAGACTTGAGACTTACCGCTGAGCTACTAGGCAGCAAATGTGAAATAAAAAGGAAATAAAACTTATAATGATAGAAAAAAAACTACAGCAACAAAGCAAGTAATTAATCAGGAAATATTTTTCTGATGTACGGTACAGCAGTAAAAAGCACTTAAAAGGAATACCACTTTTATTCTGACTAAACATTTATATGAATAATGAACTAATAATGAACTGTACTATT